ATCTGGATAGTGAGTGAGCGAGAGGGGCCATGACAGCGGAGTTGCGGAGTGGGGCTCCCTTTGTGGCTGAAGGAGTGGTGACATCGGATCCCTGCAGGCACAAAGTGTGGGGAGGGCTGAGGTCCTGGTGGGGCAGAGCAGAGACCCCTGGCCAGGGTCGCAAAGAGGATGAAACCCCGGCCGTGCGGGAGGTCTCCCTGCTACCGAATGGCTCCTGCTCAGCAGTGGAGCTATTCAGCAGCTGGTGACCTCCTCCCCAGCTAGGGATGACAATGACTCCACCTCACAGTCCTGGCCCAGGGCTCTCTGCTCTCCCAGGCCAGGATCGTAACCTTCCCCTAGGGTTGCCAACTTTCTAATTGCAGACAACTGAACACCCTTGCCCAGCCCCTTTCCCAAGGCCCTGGCCCTGCCCCTGCCCGGCCTCTTCTCTGAGGCCCCGCCCCCTCTCAATCCATCCCCCCTCCCTCCATCACTTGCTATCCCCCACCCTCACTCACTTGCTCATTTTCACCAGGCTGGGGTTTGGGAGGGGGTGAGAGCTCTGAGGTGCAGGAGAGTGCTCCGGGCTGGGGCAGGGGGTTGGGGTGCAGGAGGGGGTGAGAGCTCTGGCTGGGAGTGCGGGCTCTGGTGTGGAGCTGGGAATGAGAGGTTTGGGGTGCAGGAGGGGCCTTCAGAATGGGGGGTGGGGCTGAGGAGTTTGGAGTGTGGGAGGGAACTCTGGGATGGGGCAGGGGTGTGAGGTGTGGGAGGGGGTGCGGGCTCCAGCTTGGGGGCGGGTTCTGGGGTGGGTACAGGGATGAGGGGTTTGGGGTGTAGTGGGGGGCTCCGGGCTTGGGATGAGGGGGTTGGAATATGGGAGGGGGTTTGGGCTCTGGACTGGGGGTATGGGCTCCAGGGTGGGGACAGAAATAAGGGGTTCAGGGTGCAGGAAGGGGCTCTGGGCTGGGGTCAAGGGGTTCGGAGTGCGGGAGGAGGCTCAGGGCTGGGTCAGGGGGTTGCGGTGCAGGAGAGAGTGCGGGGTAATTTTTAGTAGGGCATCCTAAATGGTATCAATCGGATTCTGCTTCAACAAAATGAGAAGGCAATGGAATTAAATGGCAGTAAAGAGAGGAAGCAAAATGCTGTGGTTGTATGGGCTTGTCTTTAAGGGATGAATGAAGTGACCATTTAAAGATGAAGAGTAACATTTTCAAAGGTGAGTAAGGGCCAGCGGTGTAAAGGAATTTATGTGCCTAAAGATGCAGATAGGCATCTAATGGAATTTTCGGAAATTCCAAGTACACTAGATCACCCTTGTCCGCATATTTGTTGACTCCCTCAAGGAATTCTAATAGATTGGTGAGGCATGATTTCCATTACAAAAGTTGTGTCTGGTAATTCTTGTTCTTTACTATAGTTTCAGACAATTTGCCTGATTCTGAAATTAGGCTTACTGGCCTGTAATTGTCAGGATTGTGATAGGTTATATACCACAGTTAATAGTTCTGTAATTTCAAATATGAGTTCCCTCAGGACTCTTGGGTGAATACCACCTATTCCTGGTGACCTATTACTGTTTTATTTATCAATTTATTCCAAAACCTCCTCTATTGACACCTCAGTCTGGGACAGTTCCTCAGATCTGTCACCTAAATAGAATGGCTCAGGTGTGTCTCCCTCACAAACTCTGCAGTGAAGACTGATGCAAAGAATTCATTTAGCTTTTCTGCAATGGCCTTGTCTTCCTTGAGTGCTCCTTTAGCACCTCAGTTGTCTAATGGCCAGGGCCGGCTCCAGGCACCAGCGGAGCAAGCACGTGCCTGGGGCGGCACATGCTAAGGGGCGGCATTCTGTCCATTCTTGGGGGTGGCAGAGTCCAGGCGGCTTTTTTTTTCTTTATTTTTGCACTTCGGCAGTTCGGGTGGCGGCAGTACGAGTGGTTTTTTTTTCTTTTTTTTCTTTTTGCTTGGGGCGGCAAAAATGGTAGAGCCGGCCCTGCTAATGGCCCCACTGATTGCTTGGCAGGCCTCCTGCTTCTTGTGTACTTACATATTTTTTTGCTGTTAGTTTCTGTGTGTTTTGCTAATTTCTCTTCAAATTCTTTTTTGGCCTGCTCAATTCTGCTTTTACACTTGACTTGCCAGAGTTTGTGTTCCTTTCTATTTTCCTCAGTAGGATTTGATTCCCAATTTTTAAAGGATGACTTTTGCCTCTAACTGCCTCTTTTACTCTATTGTTGGTATTTTTTTTTTTGGTCTTACTATTTTTTTTTATTTGGGGCATACATTTAACTCGAACTTCTATTATGGTGTTTTTTAAAAGTTTCCATGCAGCTTGCAGGCATTTCATTCTCGTGACTGTTTCTTTGAATTTCCGTTTAACTTGCTTCCTCATTTTTGTGTAACTCCCCTTTCTGAAGTTACATGCTGTTGTGGTAGGCCCCACCACCCCATAAGGATGCTACATTTAATTACATTATAGTCACTATTGAATTCCCTCGCCCCTTGTGGGTTCTGGGACTAGCTACTCTACAAAGCAGTCATTTGTGGTGTCTAGAAATTTTATTTCTGCGTCCTGTCCTGAGGTGACACATACCCAGTCAACATGGGGATAGTTGAAATCCCCCATTATTATTGAATTTTCTATTTTTATAGCTTCTCTAAGCTCCCTGAGCATTTCGTAATCATCACCATCATCCTGGTCAGCTGGTGGGTCATATATTTTTACTGCTATAATCTTATTATTCAAGCATGGAATTTCTATCCATAGGATTCTATGGTACAGTTTGATTGATTTCAGATTTTTACTCTATTTGACTCTATGCTTTCTTTCACATATAGTCCTACTCCCCTGCTAGTGCGATCTATTTTGTCATTCCTATATACTTATTTTGTACCCTGATATTAATGCCCCATTTACACAAAAATCCAGATCTTCAGCTGGTATAAATCAGTGTAGCTCTATTGACTTCAGTGAAACAATGTTGATTTACATTACCAGCTGAGGATCTGGCTTAAAATGTGGCTGGAAAATAAAAAACGTCCAAGTCTGGCAGGTTCAACATAATCCCTTTGCCAACACTGTTTCAAAACACCATGCGGGATGCATGGGTCTTTTTGAGACCAAATATATTTAGAAAATAAGATATGGAAAATAAAGGGTTTTCTGGGAACTACCAGTATAATCTTATTGGGGCAGGATTTTTGGAATAAGATATTCCTTTTTATTATCTTCTTCTGTCCCACAAGTCACAGAGGGAAATACTTCTAACAGAGTAAGTCAAGAAGATTAATTAATTTTATATTAGCAAAATGTGTATTCACTATGATTTAAACATTTGCCTAGACATTGTGTACACTCTAAATGGGAACATTCTGAATGTAGATTGTACTAGGTGCTGTGAAATGTCTATTACTTTTGATTTATACCAGTTTTACTCACTAGCCTGAGACTGCCTGGAAGGAAGGTATAGCGTGCAGGTTTGGAACCGATGTGCTAAGATTACTTAGCAGTGTGTGTGTGCTGTCTGTGTGCTGGCAAGTTAGAGTTCTTTCCTGCCAAAGGTTATTCCAGTGATGGATGAATATGGCAAAAAAATAAAGCAGCCTTGTTATATCAGGTTCAAATTCACAATGCAAAATGTTATATCATGTGCATTAATTGTAACTGTTCTCAGATAATACAGAGCGCAAGACTGGCTAGCTACTACACTTAGCTATCCAGTTCTGAAAACATTATGTCTCCATGCCATAATCTATGTTTAAATCAAGTATTTACCTATCTCTACTCCCTCTGGTGATCCAGACTTTATTGTGGTTCTATACAGGTCTAGGATTAAGGTGGAGAGGTACCCTACATCACTGCAAATGTCAGATTTACTGATGGTTTTCCTAATGAAGTTAAATCTAGCACTTTTTCTCGTCGACTCCTAGGAGAATTTGGGTGAACAGAAGATTTTATTGCCACTGAAAACAAGATTCATAGTCTCTTTTGCTGGAATGAGTCTATCATCCCAGAAGACGGTTTGCTGAATCGGCTTCTCTCCTGAGCCCTATATGGTATACACATGGTATCATATGGCTGCAGGGCTCATGTTTAAGAAAGGCAAAAACTGCTACTGAAGAAGATGGCAGTTTCTGCTTTCCTGACCTCTCCAGGAACGTTTACTCTTGGGCTCTTCTACTTGTTGTTAGTTTCTTTTTTCTTTTTTTGATAGTCAGAATTTCCTTCTAGGTTTTTGCCACTGAGTGGCCACCACTTGCGGCCGCCTGGTGGCCAGGGGTGCCTCTGCAGTACCCCTTCTTCAGGGCTCCTTAAGCAAACACCACATGGTCTTTCTCCATCAATCAAAGCCCTTCTTGGGGTCTGATTTCTTTATTTACAACCTTCCAAAAAAAACAAGCACAAACAAAAGAGAAATTTCCCCACTCATTCACAGAATCCCCCCAAATCTGTTCCAGGGTATGTATGGCTCTTACCTCAGAGCCGGGGGAAGAGGAAAAGGTCCTTCACAGAGCCTGTTTTACCAGCTTACAGCTGCCCTACCCAAACTGACTCCCTTGAGGCTTCTCAGAGTCAGTCCCTCCCCATCTTCATCCCTCTCCCCCCACCCAACTGCTTATAAGGAACTAGCTGCTTGAGGTACCTTTCCTGTGCGAGGTGTCTCTGGTTTACTTATTTAGCAATCCTGCTCCAAGCTTCAGGTCTCCTGCAGGCAGCTCTCTCACTGCCTCTCACCTGCTTTGCTCTCTCACAGTTTTCAAGTAATGTTCAAAAATGCACAGAAATGTCAATAATAATGAAAAAAGGGCAGAAGTATTCACTAAACATTTGTTTTATATTTGGAAAAATGCCATATGATGTATTCATATCATATGATGATAATGTAATTTCCAGTCCAGCAGTAACTCAGGAGGATGTTAAACAGCTACTAAAGTTAGATATTTTTAAATCAGCAGGTCCAGATAACTTGCATCCAAGAGTTGTAAACGAGATGGCCAAGGAGCTTGTTGTATCATTATTGCTGATTTACAAAAAGTCTTGGAAGAATGGGAAAGTTCCAAAGGACTGGAAGAAAGCTTATGTGCCAATATTTTAAAAGGATAACAAGACAACCGAAGTAATTCCACTCTGTCTGACATCGATCCCAGGTAAAATAGAATGGCTGATATGGTACTCAGTTAATAAAGGATTGAAGGAAATTAATATAAGTAATGTCAATCAACATGGGTTATGAAATTCATCTTGTCAAACTAACTTGATAACTTTTTAAAGAGATTGCAAGTTTGGTTGATAAAGGTAATAGTGTTGATGTAATATACTTAGACTTTTGCAAGGCATTTGACTTGGTACTGCATGATGTTTTGATTAAGAAATTAAAACTATGCAAATTCAACATGGCACATTAAATAGATTGAAAACTGGCTAACTGATGGGCCGCAACTGTAATTCTAAATGGAGTATCATCAAGTGCATACATTACTAGTGGGGTCTCATAGGGATTGGTTGTTGGCTGTATGCAATCTAACATTTTTATCAATGACCTGGAAGAAAATGTAAAATAACTACTGATAAAGTTTGCAGATGACACAAAGATTGAGGGGGTGATAAATAATGAAAAGGACATGTCTGAAGATCTGGATCATTTGGTAAGCTGAGTGAAAGCAAACAACATGCATTTTAATAAGGCTAAATGTACACGCATACATTTAGGAACAAAGAACATTGGCTATACTTATAGGATGGGAGGCTATACTGGGAAGCAGTGACTCTGAAAAAGACTTGGGGATGATGATAGATAGTCAGAACATGAGATCCCAGTGCAATTCTATGGCCCAAAGAAGTAATGCAACCCTTGGATGTATGAATGGAAATATTGAGTAGGAGTAGGGTGATTGTATTACCTTTGTATTTGGCACTGGTGTGACCACTGCTGCAATAGTGTCCACTTCTGGTGTCTATAGTTCAAGAAGGATGTTGGTAAATTGGAGAGGGTTTGGAGAAGAATCAAGAGAATGGTTGAAGGATTGGAAAGCATGCTTTATTGTGAGAGACTGAAAGAGCTCAATCTAATTATCTTAACAAAGAGCATGTTAAGAGGTGACTTGATCACAGTCTATCAGCACTTAGATGTGGAACATAAATTTGATAATTTCAGTACACCAGACAAAGGTATACCAGAATCCAATGGTTGAAAATTGAAGCTAGACAAATTAAGACTGTGAGAACATTAACCACTGGAAGAATTTATCAAGGATCATGTGGATTCTCCATCCCTGGTACTTTTCAAATTAAGATTGGATTTTTTTTTTAAATGTGCTCCAGCTCAAACAGGAATTAATTGAAGGAAGTTCTCTGACCTGTGTTATACTGGAGATCAGACTAGGTGATCACAATGGTCCATTTTGGCTTGATAATCTATGACTTTATTAATCAGCTTCGATCACTGTGCTCCCCTTTTAGATATGAAAGAGCACCAGTTTATCGGTTCTTACCTTTTATTGTGTATTGCACCTCCACATGGAGAGAGCGTTCCCTCCCATCTACTGCAATGTTTAAGTCATTTACACCAGCTACAATGCAGTATCAGTATAGACGAGGCAGTGCCTTTGGAGTTATGCATGTATTCTCCTTTATGCTGACTACTTTTTTGTATCAATACTTCAGTCTGGCATATTCAAATAAGTCTTAGTGGTTTGTTCTGGGGCTATGTAGCTAATCAAACAGATTACTCCTGGGGGAATTCTGCGCACACGCAGATTTCTTTGCTTCCCCACAGAAAAATGACTTTCTGACAGGGAAGCAAAGGGAAGCTGCAAGAGCAGTTACGCACCACTCCCTAGCTGGGCAAGTACATCATTCCAGACATCCGGAGCAGCTGGTGGAGAGGTAAATCACCACAGGGTTGGGGACACCCCAGCCAGTGGCTCCTACCCTGGCTGGGCTGGAGGCAGGAGAGGCCAGGACTTCCTCTTCCCCTGTAAGGAATGGCTGGGGCTGTGTCAGACCCACTTCTCAGAAACCGCCCCCAGCTCCAGGAAGCTCAGCGTCTTCCCCTGCTTCCTGGCCCCATCGCTCCTCTGCTGCGGGGGGGAGGGATCACTGGATGGGGAGCAGCTCCCCCATCCACCCAACCCCCATGCATCTGGACCTCCCATACCCAGACACCCCCGCCAATCCTCACCCTGTACACACAGAAACCCCCCTAGCACTCCATACCCAAACCCCACCCCACTGAACCTCAACGCCTGCATCTGGAGCCCCCCTGCACCCAGACCCCTGCCTCCGGACCCCCACCCTGCACCCAGACCACCCCCCACTGAGCTCCCTGCACTAAAACCCCACCCTGACGAGCCCCACCCCCTGCACCACCCTGAGCCCCCCATCTGGACCCCCACACCACTGACCCCCAACTAGCTGCACCCAGACCCCCACGAAGCCCCACTCTCCCAGCACCCAGACCCCGCTGCTGAGACTCCCACACCCAGACCCCTCTGCTGAGCCCCAACCATTTTCACCTGGAAGCCCATGCAGAGTCCCATTGCCCCTGCACCAAGAACCCCCATGACGAGCCTCTGAGCATCCAGATCCCCCCACATCTAGACCCCCGACTGAACTGCCTGCACCTAGATTGTCTCACACAAAATCCTTTCACCCCCTGACCTGGATCCCCCCCACTCTGAGCCTCTCCACATTTGGATCCTGCCTGGTTGAGCCTGCCTGCCCCACACCTGGTGCTCCTATCGCAGAGGGGCAGGGCTCCAGGGTGTTTCTGGGGCAGGCCCAGGCCTTGTGCTATGTTAGAGTCAGGTGCAGCCTCACCACTGAATCCGTGCCCTAGGAATGGAGGGTGGGGAGGCTGCAGGGTGATCTCCCACCTTCGTACAGCCAGTGGCTCTCCCTGCCATGCTAGAGTCAGTGCATTTATTTATTGACAAATAAAGCTTGCAGAATTTTAAAATATTGTGTGCAGAATATTTAATTTTTTTGGTGGAGAATGCCCTCAGGAGTAACAGATGTTCCTCTACCAGCAGGTGTAAGTGCCCCCCTTTTACCTTAGAACACCCAGGGCACTGGCTGTGCTTAAGTGACCCGCATGGTAGCTTTCACAGAGCCCAATCTAAAGCTGTTAACAGCACCCTGTCACATACCTCCCACCTTCATGTTTCCTAGCTTGGCGAGGGTCCCCCTTTCCCTCTAGGGCTCAGCTTTCTCCCTGACTGAGCTCTATTCCTTTTGAAAGTGGTGATCCCTCACCACCCCTGAAGTTCCCTTAATCTGCCTTTCTTGGGGTCACCTGTGAGGGTTTCCCATTGTCTACCCATAGAATAAGCACTCTTTAGGTGGGTTTTACCCCACAATTCAATTTCATCCCATAAGCCATCACACCAGAGACAACGTAACTGTGGATAGGGATCTACCCCACCCCTTGTACAGCCAGCTAAGTTTCTTTCCCAACCAACTCCTCAAACGCCAATAGTCTCAGATCCCTCTTAGGAGTTAGGCCATTGGGGGGGGGGGGGTCACTCCCTTGTCTGGGCTCCCTAACTGGGGTATATCTCCTGCCCTTTCTTTGGGTTGTCCTTGTGTGGATGACCCCTGATCCTTCACTCCCTTTTCTGGCTTCTCTTCTGCCCTGGTATTCACCTGGGCCTCACTTTCATGGCTTTTTGGTATTTGTTTAGGCTTTTCACTTTCCCACTTCTCCTTTTCCCTGGCCTTTCCTGGCTTGTTGTTTTCTTTAGGGGTTTCTCGTATCTTCCCTTGTGGGCTCTGGGTTAAACTCAGCCCCTCTTTTCCTTATTCCCCATTGAGGCTTCTTCCCCCTAGGCCTCCCTGCTTCTCCTTAAAGGGAATGGTTTGCAATCAGTCCCCATGACCACAGGATGGGGCAAGTTTCCACCGCCCACAACCCTTTTCCATCAGAACATCCGCAGTGTCTCCAATGTGACTACTGTCACTGGATTTTTTTTTTGTCCCTGTTTATGGATTCCATGCAGTCCCCTCTCAAAATCACTGCCTGTTCAGCAGGAGTGAACAACTGGCTGCGGAGTCAATAGCCCCCATCCCTGGGCTATGGCCCATCCTTTCAGGTATTGTTTTCACATCCTTCCTAGGTGTCTCCATAACCCAAACTTCCATTAAACACATTCACAGTATGTTAGAGACAGATAAGACCTATTCAAGCATCCATCCATTCATGGAGCCAGCGCAGGATTGTTCCCTGCTGTGTAGTATCCAGAGACCTAATGACTCAGATCTTCTGCAATTAACTTAAATACCCCCTGTTTACCTGGTGACATGCAAGTGAAATAAACACACCCAGATATTCAACAAAGAGGAAATTGGGGCATGGAGATGTACCTTTTCTCTTTTTGTGTGTGTCCCAAAGAAAGACTGACCTTCAGTCACTTTTGTTAAGTTCACAGCACATATATCACTGAATGTGTTTTTGTATTTCTGAGACAGCATGGGCTCTGTGCTGTAATATAGACTGCTATGAACCTAATATATATGTATTTTAACAGCAAAATAGTTACATGACCATTGTTAAGTGAACACAATGTCAATGAGTGGCAGGAGTTAGATCTGCCTTCAGGGATAGATTTAATTTCGAAACTGTCATGTGGGCAGAAAACCAGTGTATTTTTTTAAAAAATATGCTTTGGAGCAAAAAATAGTTCATGAATAGTAATTCATGCTTTGTAGTGACTCCTTCTCAGGTTACTGCATCCTTGTGGTAGACAGTCTTTGTAATCTCCAGGGCACAGTAGAAAAGCAGACATTGTTAAAAGAATGTTATGTATTCAATATACTGCAAAGGCAAGTATTTAACTCATAATTTTTGTATCCTGAATTTTGTACTGGTAAAGTCAGTAGAAAGCCTATGTAACTATTGCCTTTTATCTATCTATCTATCTATCTATCTATCTATCTATCTATCTATCTATCTATCTATC